ACAACAACGACGAAAATGGACCGAAGATCGCTGTGATCTCATCGAAGGAGACGTCATTCTTCTAAAGGACAAAAACCTTTGCCGTACCCAATGGCCCGTTGGAATTATAGTGAACTCATTTAAAAGTTCCGACGAACATGTCCGAAAAGCAGAAGTGCGAGTAAACGTTAATGGAAAAGCCACAACCTACACACGACCTATCGTGGACATGATTCTTCTCGTAGAGAACAACCCTGTTTAATTATATGTATATATTTTGGATTTATATCGTGACATTCACATGTGTTATATTTTATGAAATAGTGATATCAGATAGATTTCAGACGGGGAGTGTACTAGTTCACGTTTGCAATTGTATAAATTACTATAACGTCTATTGGATTGAATTTTCAGACATTCATATTTTCAGGAAATAAATCTAGACTTATCCGTACGTTCACTACCGTTTACTTTCTCTTCCTCGCCTTTCAATTACAAATGGATGCCACGACAAAATTGCTCCTGTGGATATTGTGACATATTACCGTTAAGTACGTTTCAAATCGTTTATAAACTGTTAAATATATATACCGTTAATTCCGTTAACTTGAATTACACATTTATTCAACAAATACGAACTGTAATTGTTTATTTCTTTGAATTGAACTGCAAATTCTACTTTCGTTTTTGACTCGATTTTTAAAATTGCATTGCAAGTTCATATATTTCTTTAGTTCATATTGTAAAATATTGTATTTTTATTTCTTTCAGTTTACCAAACAATACACACTCTGTAAAAACTCCTGTATCCCTTCTGGTGGAATTATAATCTACAATCTTTAAACACAATCTTCAAGATACATTTGAGACTTTTTAAAATGCAACTTCGCAAGCAAGTGATGTATGAATAAAGATTTCAGAGGTAAGCAAGCTAACATTTGATTTTTATTTGTGGAAAAATGGAAAAAAGGTGTGGGGGGGGGGGGGGGGGGTAAAATAAATCTAAAATAAACAGGCTTGATCTTTTTTTTGTTGAAAAAATGCAGGATGTGCCATTCTATTCCCCCTTCAAAAATAATAAAAATCGTACGTTTGCTCCCAAATATATGAATTCAATATATATGAATTCAGAATATATATGAATTCAATAACAATATAAATGTAAAAAAAAAGAATGAATTTCCTATTTCATTAGTAATTGAAACGCTATGAAAAAATGTATTTTGTTTTTTTATTAGATATATATAGGCATTTATTTTGGATTTAAAAAGAAAATCATGCTTATAGGTTTTTATATGTCTCTGATAGTGTTTATCAGGATTAAACACGTGTCACAATATGCTCCAATCGCAGCTTACCGTACAAAACTTGTGACATAACTTCAATGTTCAAGATGTGCTGCTTATTTGACGTATTACACGGACACTTTTTATTTATAGGATCAATCGTGCAATGGTGAGTTGATAGGGATTTTATCTTATGATTAGATTTGAGTTTTTTTGTATATATTTCCTGTCTTTTTTTGTTGAAATATAAACCAGCATTTTTTTACTTTCAGTATTGTCCAGAATACTATTCGTGTCCATATATTGAAAAAAACATTTACGGACCGACCATTTAGCTTCAAAAAGGGGGGTGTATGTTTTTTTTCTGAGTAAAAAAATTATTTAGTTTTTCAACGCCATCACCCAAATATGTAATATGTTTTTTCGAAATTAGCACTCGGTATTCGGAAATTCAGGAATCAGAACAATATATTGGCATCTGCTTGACCACAATATATTTTATCTCATAAAATTGTGGATCAGAATATTTTTTTAGGAAAAAACCATAACCCCCCTTTTGAAGTTAAAAAATTGAAAACAACACGTTTAATAATTTCATGCGTCCGAATCGCTTTTCTGGATTTACCTTCATCAGGAACGCTCAAAGCCAAACATTTGAAATCCGAGGGATGTATAAGTACCGAAACAGTTGAAGAGCTATATGACAAAAATACCTAAAACAAATAGCCAAATTCATCTAAGGTCAACTTTGCCTGAGATGGTCAATCCCTTAGTGTACTGATATGAATAGTAATATACTGGAATTGTTTGAAAAAATAGAGTTATTGATGCCAACGTAAATATCTTAATAAAGAAGACACGAAATATGTCGGTGAAACAAAAAGTTCAAATCTAATTGAAATTTAAAGTGCCCATGAACTCTCTGATCATGCACGAGTGATTCTATTCATAAAAAAGTGTCCGTGTAACAACTAAAAAGTGTCTGTGTATCATTTTAAAAGTGTCCGTGTATCACCCGTTATTAATGTACTGTTTTTCTATATCTCTGCTGGGGGCAAAGTCGTACAACATGCCATATCTTCTTTTGTTTATGAAATATTTTTTATCTTAAGTTACAATTTTGATCACGTCAAAATGAAGTAAAATTGCGTGCCGCAACACCATGATTTCAGTCTTTGTAAACGATAGTGAGTAGTCCTCTTGCGATCTTACAAACGTCAACAAACTTAATTAATAACTTAATCATAAGTTATACTTACGAAAGACGCATTTTTTGTTAAATGAAGATATGTCAATACTGAAGCTTCAATACTCAACACGACGGGAGATAGAATAAAATTATGTCAATCCACTTTGGAAGCATATACATTACACCAAGGGAAGAACTCACTTACTCACGTTACACTCGATAAAGTACACATTTCGACTAACAGCAACACAATCGTTACTTTTATACAATGTTTCACTTAATAGACTTGCAAACATAATAAAAGAAGAAAAAATACTACATTGAAAAATAATCTTATGGACATATAAACAATGAATAAATACTTTAGTTGAAATGAAATGTGCACATGAGGGGGGGGGGGTAAAATAAATCTAAAATAAACAGTCTTGATCTTTTTTTTGTTGAAAAAATGCAGGATGTGCCATTCTATTCCCCCTTCAAAAATAATAAAAATCGTACGTTTGCTCCCAAATATATGAATTCAATATATATGAATTCAATAACAATATAAATGTAAAAAAAAAGAATGAATTTCCTATTTCATTAGTAAATGAAACGTTATGAAAAAATGTATTTTGTTTTTTTATTAGATATATATAGGCATTTATTTTGGATTTTTAAAAAAAATCATGCTTATAGGTTTTTATATGTCTCTAATAGTGTTGATCAGGATTAAACACGTGTCACAATATGATCCAATTGCAGCTTACCGTACAAAATTTGTGACATAACTTCAATGTTCAAGATGTGCTGCTTATTTGACGTATTACACGGACACTTTTTATTTATAGGATCAATCGTGCATTGGTGAGTTGATAGGGATTTTATCTTATGATTAGATTTGAGTTTTTTTATATATATTTCCTGTCTTTTTATGTTGAAATATAAACGTCGGTACCAGCATTTTTTTACTTTCAGTATTGTCCAGAATACTATTCGTGTCCATATATTGAAAAAAACCATTTACAGACCGACCATTTAGCTTCAAAAAAGGGGGGTGTACGTTTTTTTTCTGAGTAAAAAAAATATTTAGTTTTTTAACGCTATCACCCAAATATGTAATATGTTTTTCGAAATTAGCACTCGGTATTCGGAAATTCAGGAATCAGAACAATATATTGGCATCTGCTTGACCACAATATATTTTATCTCATAAAATTGTGGATCAGAATATTTTTTTAGGAAAAAACCATAACCCCCCTTTTGAAGTTAAAAAATTGAAAACAACACGTTTAATAATTTCATGCGTCCGAATCGCTTTTCTGGATTTACCTTCATCAGGAACGCTCAAAGCCAAACATTTGAAATCCGAGGGATGTATAAGTACCGAAACAGTTGAAGAGCTATATGACAAAAATACCTAAAACAAATAGCCAAATTCATCTAAGGTCAACTTTGCCTGCGATGGTCAATCCCTTAGTGTACTGATATGAATAGTAATATACTGGAATTGTTTGAAAAAATAGAGTTATTGATGCCAACGTAAATATCTTAATAAAGAAGACACGAAATATGTCGGTGAAACAAAAAGTTCAAATCTAATTGAAATTTAAAGTGCCAATGAACTCTCTGATCATGCACTAGTGATTCTATTCATAAAAAAGTGTCCGTGTAACAACTAAAAAGTGTCCGTGTATCATTTTAAAAGTGTCCGTGTATCACCCGTTAATGTACTGTTTTTCTATAGCTCTGCTGGGGGCAAAGTCGTACAACATGCCATATCTTCTTTTGTTTATGAAATATTTTTTATCTTAAGTTACAATTTTGATCACGTCAAAATGAAGTAAAATTGCGTGCCGCAACACCATGATTTCAGTCTTTGTAAACGATAGTGAGTAGTCCTCTTGCGATCTTACAAACGTCAACAAACTTAATTAATAACTTAATCATAAGTTATACTTACGAAAGACGCATTTTTTGTTAAATGAAGATATGTCAATACTAAAGCTTCAATACTCAACACGACGGGAGATAGAATAAAATTATGTCAATCCACTTTGGAAGCATATACATTACACCAAGGGAAGAACTCACCTACTCACGTTACACTCGATAAAGTACACATTTTGACTAACAGCAACACAATCGTTACTTTTATACAATGTTTCACTTAATAGACTTGCAAACATAATAAAAGAAGAAAAAATACTACATTGAAAAATAATCTTAAGGACATATAAACAATGAATAAATACTTTAGTTGAAATGAAATGTACACATGCAGACAACATTGAAAACAAAATATGGGTGATGTAAAGAAAATAATGCTTAATTTTCCTGAGCAAGACTTTCATAAGTGACCAGTACTTCATATTATTTCTCTAATTCTACAAATGAATGTCTCACAAAACATAATGTTTTCTTTTAAGATCGGTTTTATGAAGTTTTCAATATTTTATCATATCTTTTAACAGATCCAAAGTAAACAATATACTGATCTGTTTTTTTTTGTCAGGATGAAGGAAACTTTGTCGTTTAGGGAAAAAAAAAACAAAAAAAAATAAAAGTACTGTTTCTGAATATTATGTTCATTTTTATTACTAATAACATGTATGAAAACAAAACATCGGCGATTTTTAAACCTTTAAAGTGAATAAAAGAACTATATTTCACACTACATTTTGTAACACACTTTGAAAATATTACTAAGAGTGATAAAAACTGTTAAACGACCTCCATAGGCATTAGATCAGATTAAGCTTAGTCTTAATTTCGTTTCCAGAAATACGATCAGTTGCTCGTATTCCAATTTCTGTATTGCCAAATACAAACTCAACATCTACAGCTCTTTCGTCTTTAGTAGGGTCAGGAATGTCTAAATTCATTTTGCAGAGTTCTGTACATCCATCCTCATCCGTATACACAGGGCATTCGTCTGTCGAGACAAAAATTTCAAATGCTACTGATTTTTGCATTTCATGAACGGTCAAGAAGCATTGACTTTTCTTTGTACCTGCCTCAACCTCTTCATTTTTGGCAACAAATTTGGCAAAAAGTCTTTTGCATCTCATTTGTCCGCAAATTTCTTCACGGTATTTCTCATCGTGTTCCGTCGGGTCAAATATTTGAGTTGTCATAACTCCATATGTGAATCTCATGACACGTGATTGGACATAGTCTGGCTTATGTCCAAATAATACAGCTCCTTTCAAAACAGAAAGACCAGCTTCCTCAGGGATTATTACTTTCTTATTCCCAAATTTCTTTACGACAGCATCTTGAATTAAGCGACATTCAGAAAAACCACCTACAAGCAATATCTGAGTTATATTTCTTACTTTTTTGTCCTGGAGAATTTCGTACATGAGAGAAAGTATGTTATCAATTGTGGGTTTAAACAATTTTATCATCAGGTCTGCATCAATTCTCATTTTGTCTCCGCGTAGCGAAATTTGATTTGAAAACGGACATGACGCAATCACAGCTTTAATACTATCTCCCAACATTTCCATACAGTGAGTATCAAGAGATGCATAAGGAATAGCAATGTTTACTTTTCCAGTTTTTCCAGTCTCTATTGTTCTTTTTACAGCTTCAAATTCTCGGAAAAGATCCAGATAGGCCGATGGATCTTCATCTTTTATCTTTTTCATCAATGGTCCACCTAGTATCTTCACCAACATCTGGAAGAATCTGCCATCAACTGATGTACCACCACAATCATTGCCCGAAGCTCTGTGAAGCTCCTTCAGACGTCCATTTTTTGTTTTCTCATGAACAGTCATATCTGCTGTACCACCTATTAAATGATTTATCAATAATTCAATTATATCGGTAGCTATCATTCAAGTCTCAAAATATTGGGTAGTATGTGGAAGTTACTTGTGAGTAAGGATTTTACTGATGAGGATTATTTCCGAAACTGGTGTTGTGTGCAAACCCCGAAGTATTAATATATTTCTTGCTTTCTTGTTGAAGTTAAATCCAGAAAAGCGCGTCAGACTCACCAAATTTATTGTGTTTATTCTTTTTTATAGAAAGAAGAGGAATTTGCGAAAACATTTGACAGACGTTAAAATAAATTAGAGAAGCATACAAGCGTCGATATCGTAATATTTTAACTTAAAAATCATCAAATTTCAATAATGAAAGACTTACGTAAACTATTTTGAAGTTTTAAAGGAAAAAACAATAGAGAAATACAATAACACACCAATAAGATTTTGCACTTGCGACAGACCAAGAGTTGCATTAGTTTTAGAAGAACTGCTGAAATTAGTGAATTGCGAATAAGGAACTTGAATTCAAAATATAATTGGAAATGCGCATACCATGAGCAATTTATAAAAAAAATACCTCCTAGGTCAGCAACCATGTATTTTGTTCCCTCTGCTGACATGGCAAACGTCTGGTTTGCTCCATGCAATTTCTCAGTCGGAAGGTACTGGCAGAATATACTAGCGGTTTCTGGTTCAAGAGCAAGCAGCAATTTTTCCGCTGGAATGCCAGCCTAAAAAAGATTAATATCTGATTTAGTTAAGTCCTTATCAAGAATTTTGAACTCACAACAAAACTGGAAATCCAACATATACCCCTACATCATTCAGGACAGAGGGGATTTTAAAATCACAATCCCGTCATTCTCTTATTTAGAATAAGCACCAAAAAAAAAAAAAAAAGAAAACAAAAAGCGATGGGAATCTCCTGTCCTTATATTGAATACATAAACTTCACAAAAATACTTATAAATATGATAACTAGACCAGTCGTCAAGATGTCTGACTAAAAATCTTTCTACAGTTAAAGATGACCTTCAGAAATATTGTGATGATGTATATATTCAACCAGATGTGCTGTCTTAAAAATCACAAAGTTCTATTACTGTCTTCAATCATAATCTTTACAATGTTGCTGTAATATAAAAACAATCGGGTTTTCTACGCTTTACACTACAAAATAGATAAGAAGAAGTGGTATAAGAGCCAATGAGACGATCCCCATGATCAAGATCGACTACATCTTCTCATTAAACAGACCTTTTGCTACAAATATGGGAATCATAGATACAAATTTCTTGTTTGAGGTTATGAAAAATCTTACTTTGTGAAGAATCACGTTAATTCTAAAAACAAATACACCAAATAATATATCATCAAAATGTTGGAATAAGGTCAAGTTCAGATAAACCCTGTCTGTCGGACATGAAGACCTTGTCAGTATCCGGCATACAAAAATCCAGGTAAGTTATTACTCATAGTAAGTGAGAATAGCACTCGATAAAAACAAACTATACTGAGTTTTTAAGCAGTTGCTGAACTATAAATAAGAGGTCAATAGCAACAGACATCTCACAGACAAAAACTTTTAACATATTTATACAAAATATGAAGTATCAAGGTCTAATATTTTCTAAAATATAAAGCTTAATACTAAGAGTTGCTATTGTCGCTGACGCTGCCCGATGAGCATATGTCTTGCATCCTGCGACTTTCATCAAAACGAATCAACAAATATGTTTCAAATGGAAGCTGACAAAAATTGTTTCGTATGAAAATTAACGAATAAAATAAATACAAGATGGAGTTAAAGCGTAAATTGTGTTTCCTAAGACCCTCCTAAACATGCATGTTCGTAAAACTCGTAATTAATTATGTGTAATACACTGCTGACCATATCACTAGCTTGTAGTTTAATGTATTAACTCGGTCGCCTTTCACGCACATCCACCATACAAACCTTAAGCTTTCAACAGCAAGCACAGTTTTTCAAGTAAATTCAGCAAAAGCACAATGAATTACCTTTTCAGCACATTCCCTCATGAACTGTTTGGCAGAATCCGTCCATATTGCTGGTATTGTTAAAACCCACTGTATTTCCTGTAATTTCACACCAGTTCCCTGTTTTTTTACACTGTCCATAAAATGATCTACCAAAGCTTTAATGGAAAGACTAAAAACATCAACTGCACTGACGGGCTTACCCAATATGTCTTCCAAAACCATTTCAGCAGAAATATTCTAAAACAACAACTTCAGACTATATATTTGGGATAAATAGAATGACATATTTAAAAAAAGACCAACATTATTCTGAAGTTTCTATATCAAACATATTGTATGTGGTAAAATATAAATTGTGTTACTGCTTCAAATGATCAGACTATAACTTATTTTCACATTAACAGAACGTTACGGAACCTTTTAGGAGTCCGTAAGGAAAGAAAACTGCCTTTACAAAGCATAGAACTTTTTCAAGTAACCTTTATTCATCCAGTTTGCAAAACTTAACTATTTGATTTATTGTTTTTGATAGCTACAGATAATCTATCATGCCAAACAATCTATTTGTCCAACATATATATATAAGCAAAAAAAAAAAAAGGGACGTTCGCTATGGCCCCATTTCGGCCTACAAAAATGATGCATTACAAATTTAGGGGTTTTAAACACAAAGTTAATTGATAAGTATGTGCAAAGTTTAAACTGTCATATCTTCAAATTCCATTTTCTCTACAAAAATAAAACAAATTGCATATTTTTATACATATTTGTAAATTGGAAATATTGAGCGCATGCAAGTACCACACCAATTTTTGCATGAAACGTGTTGTTCATATACTGATATATACACATATTGTGGTTAATTATTTATTTGGTACTCGCATGCACTCTATATATGCTCCAAAAACTGTGCAAAATAAAAATCTGTTTTTTTTTAGAAAGACGTAGAACGGCCTTTTTCATGACGTCACATCTGTATGCATTGTGACATAATGGGTAAAACAAATACACGTTTTTAATTTTCCATAAATCAACTGTTAAACAGATATAAATGGAAATCTTAGAAATAAAAGATCAATTTCAGTAAAAATTTAGCCCCCGAAAAGGACCCTTATTGCACCCTGTCCATTAAAAGTGTTAAGCGCATAAAATAAAAAATTTGTATGATAATAAAAATATGGACAAAGTACAGTACCTTACACTATGCATTGAAAGTAAAATTATCATACTGCCAGTCAAATTCGTAAAAATACTGTTAGTTGTTGACAGTTAAAAAATGCAAAAAAAAAAGTATGAGTCTTGACCTATGACAGTCATACAGAATATAATGTAAACCCTTTAAATGAATTAGACTAGTATTTCAGAAAAACAATTAAAATTGAGAATGGAAATGGGGAATATGTCAAAGAGACAACAACCCGGCAAAAGAGCAGATAACAGCCGAAAGCCACCAATGGGTCTTCAACGCAGCGAGAAAATCCCGATACCGGAGGTGGTCCTTAGCTGGCCCCTAAATAAAAATGTGCACTAGTTCAGTGAAACTGGACGTCATACTTAACTCCAAAACATACAAATGAACTACAGCAGAATGCATTGAGTGTGTAGGTAAAGGTAAAATCTTTGGTTAGCTTTCTTGTTAGCTGAACCGTGAAGTTATTATTAGGTTAGGTATACTACCTCCTTTCGGAGTAGTCTAGTCCTACAGACAGATAGATTGGTAATCGGTCGGACTAGTCTACTCTTAAGGTAAGGGAGGGTAGTTTACCTAACTTAATAATGACTTTACGGTTCAGCTAACAAGCAAGCTAACCAAAGATATTACCTATACCTACACACTCAAAGCAGTCTGCTGTAAAATTAAAAAAACATACAAGACTAACAAAGGCCAGAGGCTCCTGACTTGGGACAGGCGCAAAAATGCGGCGGGGTTAAACATGTTTTGTGAGATTTCAAACCTCCCCTATACCTCTAGCTAATGTAGAATAAAGAAACACACAGCGATGCGCACAGTAAAATTCAGTTTAAAAGAAGTCCGAGTCCGATGTCAGAATAGGTAACAAAAGAAACTAAGCAAAATGACAATGATACATAAATGAACAAAAGACTTCTAGCAGTTACTGACATGCCAGCTCCAGACCCCAATTAAACTGATTGAAAGATTATGTCTTCATCATATGAAAATCAAGTACAATCCCTCCCATTAGGGATTTAGTATCATGCCATCATAAAATATATGAGAAGAACATAACCCGTATCATACCAACAACTGGTTTTAGAATAAATGTGTTTATTTCCGATGCAAAGACCCTATGAGTGAATCAATATTAATACCAAAATATGCAATCCTTAATGATCGTAACTATATCCCTTCCGAATAAGTCTGTTTAAAGGTTTGGTTAGCTTTTGAGGTGCATGCCGACATTTTTGTGCTTTGTAAAGAATATTACCATGAAAGATTGGATGTGAAATACCTAAACGTTTAAGATGTCTGCATGTTAATTTATATTTCCGAATAATGTCATTGTACCGATGATAAAATTTAGTAAATGGTTTGACTAGTTTTTGAAATCGAAAACCCTGGTGTAATAACTTTTCAGTAATACAGAGATTTTTTTCGTTTAATTGTTTATTTAAAACCAAAGACAACTAATACAAGATACTGTCAACTCCATTCAATGGACATATAATTTGTTAAAATAGCATACGCCTTTTTGACTAATTTTCAAACTCACTTTTCATTAAGAAAATAAAGAGATGTGGTATGGTTGTCAATGAGACAACATTTCACCATATTATAAATGAATTAGATATATTAAGCAATTATAGGCAACCGTACGATCTTCAACAATAAGAAAAACCCACACCGTTTAGTCGGCTATAAAAGACCCCGACATAAATAATATGAAATAATTCCATTGAGAAAACTAACGAGAAGTAACATGTCGTCTAACTTTTTGGATTTGATTTAATAGATTGGAAGTAATATTTCATGAACAATGGAAGTAAAAAGCTGACATCAAGATATTCATAATTCAACGCAGTTAAAAAAAAAGAGGAGTGGTTTTGGTATGATTTATTAATAGGATCTTGCAGGTATTATTATTTTGTGATTTTTGTGAGAACAAGATTTTTATTCGTTCTTACAAATATTCAATGAAATCACATGGGCTGCGTGATATCACGAAATTTCGCCGTGTAGCCCACCTCATGCACTATATTTCTCTGTTTATGATATGGTAACAGTATACATAATTCCATTCAGAATAATTTGTTGAGAAAATTGTAAAAAGAAAATTGCCACCTTAAAATCCTTTTTTCTCAAAATTCTACTGTTTCCAGTAGTTTCCCAATTACCTTCAGTTTTAGTTTAGAACGAGTCAAGAGCTTTAAACTTATTTTTTAAACATTTGCCAAGTACATTGTTATACATCTTTTACTGATCTTTTATCAATTGTTAAAGCACACTAGTTTTTGTCATGTATGAAATGTTTATCAAAATCTAGAGAATTATCTTTATCAAGTTCAACAAATATATCAGTGGCAAAGGTTTACTAATTATATATACCATCATCATATATATATATATATATATATAAATAAACCCCTTTTTAACAAGGGTCTTTATTTCATCTGATGGTGAATTCTGTCTAAATGTAATGAATTAAAAGTAATCAATCAACTCAACGGTTGCTGCAATTCTGCTGGGTATTTTCCTTATACGATATAACAGCTTAAAAAAATATAAATACGTTTAAAGATAAATCTTTCTACCAATAATAAATCAGTTTATTCCATGTAACCTGAATCTATTCACCACCGTAAAGATAGTACTCTATTCTTCCATACAACTTACCTCACTATTGAAGAGTATTCTCTTATACTATCAAAATTGTTTAAAATGTGTAATACCTTGTTGTTATGGAGATTCATTTTGAATCGATGAAAATAGAAATATTCGTCTTGTTTGTCATCCATCACAATATCTGCATACTGATTCTCTGCGTCATACCCAAAAGCAATGAACTGCTTTTTAGCATTTAGAAGTAGGCATGTTGGCGTTTTCAGTGATAGGAAGGCTCGGCCACCGGAATTCCAAGCCTGGTTAGCATGTATTTTCAATGGATCAGTTTTGAATTCATGTCGCATGGAAAATGCATACCCAGAATACGTCGTTCCGAAATCCAATGCAGCAACTAACAGGTGGTCATTTGTTGCCATGGTGAATCTGTAAAGATGAGATAAATAGACATTTTTAAAAGCAAAAATGATTAGCAAACAATATCTACAAATAAGTCAATATTTTGCGAAAACGTTAAGAAACTCTTTACAGAAGTGATTGCACTTGTATGACAATTTTTACCCTTTTTGTGTATTGGTGTTTTGGGCATTAATTAAAGGAGATAGACAAAAATTATGAACATAAAAAATTATCAGCAATACAAGATCAACAAAAGCAAAGATTTTGTTAATTAATTTTATTCAAGTGTGTGTGGACGGGAATGAATATATATTCAGTCAAACACGCAAGAACAGAAATGCAATTCCCTGTCGAATAAATTTTACAGAACTGTGCATTTTGTCGGTTTTTGTACACATTGTGTTTGGAAAATTTGGTTGCGCCAACAATGCGTGCTTTTGCGCCAAAACTCATTTGGCCAATGCTATACGTTTGCGCCACTAGTTTTCAAAATACATAGTATCATTTGCGCCAAAAAAAGTGTACGATTGCACCATGCATTTAATACAAAATGTTAAATAACATAAACAGTATTAATTTTTCTGCACCAGATACGCATTTCGACAATCCATGTCTCTTCAGTGATGCGCGAGGCCAAACTATTTAAACATCCAAAGCTTATTAAAAAGCTGAGCTATAAACCAAAAGTGACAAAAAAGTAAAGCCAAAGCTGGGCAAGGAATCAGAGTTTTGCATAAGGGAGATACATTCCTTAACCTTCTCCTTTATTTGGGCTAACTGCGACCGCTAGTTAGCACTGGGGAGTAAAATCGTGTTAAGTTTATGATATAGTATCTTTTAAAACATAAAATTATTTTCATTGAGACAAAATAATTATATTTAAGGCTGGAATTTGTAACTCATGGCACGCACATAGTCTCTTAACTGCTGAGTTCTTCTTTCGTATAATTCTGGTACTTTTGAACGACAAATGAATTCTTTTATGATATAACATAATTTATGGGTACTACGCAATTAAATATAGGTAGTGGCTCGAAAGTTTGTATTTGCTGCGACTCCACTATAAGTACGCTGCACTTACATGATTTAGGAGTAAGAGCAAATTAAGACTGTCTTGGGGTCAGATAAGTGTGCCTATGTATGGCGGAATGTCTTCCTGTAGACTTAAACCATGTGAACTAACAAGTTAAAACCTGGCTCAGCGTGTCGGTCTACTATAAAGTAGGGTTCATATTCATACCATATTAAGATATTCTTCTCCTGATAGGCATACATGTATGATATTTGCCTCTAGACCTTAAGCACCAGCCTAACATATCCTTTTATTTAAAAGTAAAAAACGAATTGATTAGCGTAAAGTATAGGTTCCAAACTCTAAACATGTTGCGGACATCTAAATGAACATTTACGTGTGACGTTTCTAATAAAATTACATAAAAATCATTCAAAGTTTACCATTTGTTATATGTTTATTTTTTCCATAAAATTGTATGCACGTGGATTGGCTGAACTCTATAAAATATATATTATTATACGTAATCGCGGTAGCTTAACAACCTTTACTTCCCGTAATGGAATGACCGAAGTATTGAAATATAATCCACATGGACTGCTCCCATTCAACGGAAAAACCCAATACGGCTGAATCCATGTTTTCGATTCTGGCAGTTTTTTTTAAATGTTGGAATGTATCCAGAAATTAGAAGAATTCTTGATATATTGAATTAAAATTGGAAATCAAGATTCACGATTTACAAATAACAAAGTTAAACACATTGTTATGTCATTGAATTTCCTTAAATTTTATGTAATAGTAAAAGCTCAATGATATGTTAATATTGATATTAAAAGAATCTGCACAATAGGGGTGTTGAGATCCCCGAAACCGAAGGGCGAGGGGATTTGAACACCCTTTTTGTGAGGAGGTCTTTTAATGTCAATATTAACTAAATCATTGAACTTTTACGGACTTACAAGTCGTCAAAAACTTTAAGCATTAAAATAAGACCATAGGATAGTTTTATGAAATAAAAGGGTAAATTTATATTTTTGAATTCCAACTTTTTAATATAACGATTTTCTATTTTATAAATGAGGAAATCAAAACCCTATACAGACCTCATTTACAACTGACCAATAAATGTTCTGTACAAGAACTTCTTGTTATATATATTTGATGTTTTTAATCTGTCAGTAATCATGAAATAGATTCGTAAAGACCTGATCAAATGAAAACAGTAAGTAGACTCTTCCAACAATTAGCTAAACAGCTTGTTTCACAAGTTCTAATCGAAAAGACCTAGATATATAAGGTCCTTCACAATATTCAGGTAAATGTTCATTTTGGTTTTGATTCTGTAATTTTCCTTCACTACGTTACAATCAAATGCAAAATATTTAGTGTTGTCTGCTCAGTCCAATTAATTAATAAATCGTGTGTTTTTTTGTTTTTTTTTTAAAGACAAAAACTATGGATGTAAACTCTAATGAATAAAATCGAATTAAATAGCCTAAATGTACCATCTTTAGCATCAAGTTATTTTTTTTATTAGTTGTTATTGGCTTTGAACTAGCTGTCAGCAACTGCGAGTACTCTCAGATCTGTACTTAGTGTCTTTTTTGTTGTCGGGATGTACAAGTACCCGTCCACGTCCACTTTATGTTTTTGTTAGATTATTTTTATTTGTATCCAACTGATTTTTATAGTTTGTTCTTTTGTTCGTCGAACTGTCACACCACTGGTACCATCTTACTAGTTTAACTTCTGTATGTGCCTGTCCCAATTCAGTAGTTGTCATTTGTTGCTGTGTTACATATATGTTTTTTCGTTCATTATTTTGTACATAAATAAGACCGTCAGTTTTCTCGTTTAAATTGTTTTACATTTGTCATTTCGGGGTCTTTTATACCTGACTATGCGGTATCACGGTAGGTATAGTGTCCGGCTAGGATCGTGGTTTTTCGAGTGAATCGGTCCATTTTTTTCGAGTGTAGATCGGGTTTTTTCGAGTGATAAAACATGCGATCAGGTCAATTAACTGCTATGTCGTAATTATAATAGTTTTTTTCATGACTACCCATCTTATTTTGAATACAATACATGTTTTGAGCAACAAAGAAGCACAATTTCCTTGTATTTAACCAAACAATTCAGTGTTTAATATTGTCCGGGTATTTTCGAGAGTAACTGTGAAACCGTCCGGGTTTTTAAACAAATGTTCCGGGTTTTTTAACGAAAATTTTAATAAGAAAAAAGGTATTCTTGACTTTAAAAAATGACTTTTCTAATTTATAACTATAATTTAATGAATGAAAATTATCATATATTCTCAATAAATTACCAAACCATATTACTACCTTGATCAAAATTAACCTTTTTTAATTTAATGCAAATTTTTTGTTCGGAAAACGTTCTACCACAACTTTTCAGTATCAAATTAAAAATTATTGGATCCTTTATAAAAAAAGTCTCTAGAACATACTATGTTACATAGTGCAGGGGACTCAAAATCTTTTCAACTTCATTTTATGGTACTTTTGTTGTCACAGTTAATAATATTTTTCGTGGTGAACCCCGGAGTTTTTATACGGGACGTATTATGGTATACCGTCATCCGTCCGTCCGTCTGTCGTCAGCATGTAGGACAATAACTCAAAATCGCTGTAACCAATTTACATGAAACTTCGGTGAATTGTTTATATCTATTGAGGTATCCTCCCTTTCGAATTTTAAAATTTTAGATTTAAGGTTTCCGAGTCATGGGATTTTATTAAACGAACTAGAGGCTCTAAAGAGCCTGTGTCGCTCACCTTGGTCTATGTGCTGCAGTGCATATCAAACACAGGACACTCTTCAACATTAAAGACAAGAATGGTGACTTGTTTGTAGATCTTACTTTACTGAACATTCTTGCTGTTTACAGTTATCTCTATCTATAATGAACTTTGTCCAGTAGTTTCAGAGAAGATTTTTGTAAAAGTTAATGGACGACGACGACGGACAACGACGGACGCCAAGTGATGAGAAAAGCTCACTTGACCCTTTTGGACCAGGTGAGCTAAAAAGGGGTGATTTTACAGTTTTCGGACAATATTTTTAAAGTGATTTGAGGAGTTTTCATGAGACTTTGGTGACTGGTTTATATAGATCAAGGTAACCTCCTTTTAGTTTTTCATAAATTTTTGATATGACATTGAGACATTATTTATAGGTTTCATAACGAGTGAGAATGGACATCGCTTGATATCAACTCGAGTTATTTAATTTCAATATAATAATAAACGAGCCTTCGGTGAGTTTATTATTACTATTTGAATTAAATAACGAGAGTTGATATCAAGCGATATCCAATTCTCACAAGTTGTTAAACCTATTTGTCTTAAGGTCAACACTCTCATTGTGTTAAATTATAAATTCCGCGAATCGTTGGTCTAGTATTTTGCACATGAAATGTACATCGTCGTAAGCTTTTAAGGTCATCAATGACCTAACGAATAGCCAATGGAAATGTCGTAGTATCGTCTTATAATGCTGGATAAGCAAATCAAATTAACGCAAATTTTCGTATCACTTTTTCGTATCACACTCCGTGCAGTGTGATATAAGAAATGTCTATTCATGCAAGAAATAGATAATAAGCCACAACCATAAGAGAATGAACTTTATTCTTTGAAAACGCGACGGGTGTTTATTGAAAAACGGAGTAAGAAACCTACTGGACAGCAGAGAAGAATTAGAAAAATGCTATGTAATAAAAAACATTCTACTCAAAGAGGTCTGCCCCCTGCCCACAAAAATTTAATTAATAACAAAAAAAAAAAAACAAAAAAAAAACAATACAAACATTTAATCCGACCAGTTTTTATTCCCACTGACAATAAAATTTGAATTAAATTTCATATATAGTTAACAATGAAATGAATAGTTCATCAGCTTAACACACTATATGTACGTACGTCTCAATCCAAATTGTCTATGCTTACATTAGATTGTTGACATCATGAATATATACTGTACATGTAATTTA